AATAATTAATTAAGGATGATGAGCATTTTTTCTACCTCAAACAAAAGTTCTATTTTTTTAACTTTAGCTTCTTTAAAATATATGTGAAATATAGGTGAGTATATATTAAATAATAATAAGCATTGGTCCCCATTGACCTTCTGAACCCTGAACTGTACTGCTCTCATTTAACTGTACGTTGCCCTGGATCTAATGTTACACTGTCTGTCCTACCTTCCTGCATATATTTTTAAAGTTTTTAATAGAAAATAATTGAAAGTCAAATAAAACACTGCTGCAGGGAGTCTACGTAACAAAGGAGTCTCAAGTCAAACTGCTTGCAAGCAAAGAGCCAGAGCTGGAAACAGAAAGGAAGAATGTTTTAGAAGAAATGATTTCAGAATGTCGTGCATGCCGACCATTTGAGGACTGAGACCTGAGGAATGCAAGCTGAGTTACATTTCAGGGTTAATGATCTGGACAAAATTGCTGCTGCTAGTTACATAAAAAAGAAAGAAATTGCTATGCATTTGAGTGTAATTTCAATAATCAATTGCCTCTACATTGGTGCAGTGACTGCCAGTGAATACACCAACTGCTAAAGTTATTGTATTTTCTTGTAATTGCATTTTTATGTCATTTCAGTTTAAATATCAATTATATTTACCAAAATACAGCTCCAAGATTTTCCCTTTACATGGCTAGTTATTGTGTTTCAATTTAGAGTAAATGTATCTGTTTTAATTACTTTCCCCTTGCTGGATCAAATCCTTGTTGGAAACATCTTAAAAGAGGAATTATTTATTGTGGATTCACAGCATTCAGTCCATGGTCACTTGTTTCTATGCTATTTGGTTTCCTGTGTTTCACAGGGTTTAGTCCATAGTCACTTGTTTCTGGGATTCTGGGCCCACTGTGAGGCAGAACATTGGGAGAGTAGAAGGGTGTACTACAGGAATATTTCTTGGTGCACTGGAAAAGGAGAAAAGGCTAGAGACATGAAGGCCAAGGCTTGGTGGAGCTCAGGCATAAATCTTTCCGTATCCTTCCTGTAACTAGGGTCTACTTTTTACCTTTCACCAGCTCCCAAACATGACATCATATCATTAATTTGTTAAAGGGGTCATCAGTCCTTACATTGGAATTTTCATTTTCTGAGCTTTTGGGGGGATAGCTTTATACATATAAAGAGATGTCCTTCTCTATTCTGATTACTTATTAATCCATTTGAGTTGAAGATCAACACTTACCAACATTATGCTAAATAGAAAAACAAAAAATATTTCCACTAAGATCAGGAACAAGACAAGGGTGTCAACTCTCTACACACATTTAATATATTGCTTGAAGTCTTAGCTTCAACAATAAGAAAATAGAATGAAGTAAAATGAATAAAAACACTAAAAGATAAATGATTCTGTACCTAACAGACTCTAAAGACTCCCCCCAAACTCTTGAGATCTGACGAGCATTTTCACCAAAGTGACACAATACGAAGTTTTCTTAGTTACTTTTCTGTTGCTGTGATAAAACACCATGAGCAAAGAAACTTATGAAAGAGTTTATTTGAGCTTAAAGTTCCAGAGGAATTGGAATTTATCATGTTGGGCAGGCATGGTGACAAGGGGTGGCCTGAGCAGAAAGAGAGCTCTCTCGTCCTTAAGCAGGCACAGAGAGCAGAGCATGACTGGAAATCTGGCAAGAATTAAGAATTTTTCCTTGCCAGCCCCAGCAAGGCCACACCTTCTAAGATCTCCCAAAACAGCGCCATTGATTTGTGACAAATGTCCAAATACTTGGAGCCTACTGGGGACATTCTCATTCAAACCATCACAAAAGTAAACATACGAAAATACGTAGACTTCCTATATTCCCATGACAAGTATATTTCAAAAGAAAGCAGGAAGAAACCTGATTGAGGAAACAAAATACCTCTACAATGAAAATATTCAGGCACTGTAGAGGGAAATTGAGAGAGACAAAAGAAGATGGGAAGACCTCCTGTAATCATGGATCGAAAGAATTAATATTGGCCATGCCATCTTACCAAAAGCAATCTACAGATTCAGCATGATCCCAATCAAAATTTCAGGATCTTTCTTTACAGAAAGAAGGAAAAAAAACTGCAATTATACGGAGGCACAAAATACCAAGAGCTGTTACAGACTGCAGAAAGAAGTCTGTCCACCCAAGGATGAGAACAGTATAGGTCTATAGATATAAAAAAATTATTTAGAAAGTACTTTGGCATCATGAACAAAGATGGGGTAGAAGATCTCCAGGCTCATACCTTACTGAGGAGCTATTTACAATTGATAGTTACTTGGGAGGAAGAATCATTCTCTTTTGAGGCTGAGACTTTAGATAGGATTCTCAGTCTCAAGTAGATGGCCCCACACCCATAATAATAAAAGAAGACATGAAGTTTGGAGGGAAACATATTGAGAAGCTGTTGGGGTAGCTGGATGAAAATTAAGATTAGGGCCGGAGAGATGGCTCAGTGGTTAAGAACACTGACTGTTCTTGCAGAAGACCTGGTTTGAATCCCAGTACCCACATGGCAGCTAAGAACTGTCCATGGCTCCAGTTCCAGGGGATCCGACAGCCATTTCTGTATTCTGTGGGCATTTCATGACACGGGCACACTTATCTAAATGCAGGCAATACACGCACACACATAAAATAAAAATAATAAAATATTTAAAGAAGGAAAATGAGATTATATATGACCATGTTGTTTACATGTATGAAAGTCATTTTCAGAAAAATGGAAAAAAAATTTTAAGAACATGTAGATCAGTAAGATAGAACAGAGAACCCCAATACAAACAAACACACCTATAGCTACCTGATATTTTGACAAAGATGTCAAAATATGCATTGGAGGAAAGAGCATTTTCAACAAATTATGCTTGGAATCCTAGACATCGGCATTTAAAAGATAGAAACTAGATCTTTATAACTCATTCTCCACAAAACTCAATTCCAAGTGAAACAAGGACTTTGACAACACC